TGTGTATTCACGGGGTACAAATGAAAGTGTGTTTCATTTCAAAAATTTCTTCACCATGTTCGAAGCTGGTTTCCAGAAAAATTAAGCAGCTTGAAGCGTCCGCGAGGCAGAGTGAACAAATTGTATTGCTGAATAGAACGGTATGCCCTCGGAAACATAGAACAATCCAATCCAACTCATTTTTATGGGTGTTCGTATTTGGAAAATACTAGAGGCAAAGAAAAGCAGGATACTCAAAAGCACATGAAGTAGCACGAAGCAAACGAACCGTACCGTTTACCTAAACTCATGAGAATTTCTTGCACTTTAGGAATACGAGTACCACCACCCATCAAAACGATATCCTGGATCACTGAGAGATCAACACCCGATCCTGTCAAAGCATCAGAGAACGGTTTGGCAAAAGCATCGAATTCCATCTTGCAAAGCGTTTCCATCTGCTCCCGAGTGATATGCAACCGGAAGTCTTTCTCGTTCAACAGTTGTTCAATCTAAAAAAAGAAAAAGAACAAACGCATGCAGATTGCCGCACCAAAGCCATTTTTCTATTTATATAACTCTTCGTTATTCCGGTATGTATACTCAAAACTCAAGAAGAAACTAAATCATTTGTCCTAGATTCAGCGACTAAAACCAAAAAGCCCAACCTTACAATCGCTGTAAATAATAATAATCCCAGAGTATTTTATCACTTTGAACGGTTAGATTTGTAGATTCATTGAACAAGCACTATTTGGCATTTGCCAACTTGAGACATCTGTCACACTATCGCGACCAGTTGACATCAGTCTTCCATTTGAAATGGAGGTCACCCGAGAAACAAATTATCTCACAAGGTCCCAGACGGGCTGTCACTGTCGGCGTTTAAGGATGCAGGTTCAGCGTTAGTCTTGAAGTTGACCAAACTCCTGGGCTCAATATGGGAAAGGGAACAGGTTCCAACTGAATGGTGGGAATCGGTCATATTATGGATTTATAAGATAGGTGACTGGTTCTCTTGTGAAAACCACAGAGGAATTAGTTCAATCAACATCGTCTCTAAACTTCTCGCTGGTATTATACTCCATCGATTGTCTGTCTCACGTGAACGGTGCACGCACGAGATTCAGGCTGGTTTTAGAAATGGTTGAGGTTGTATCGACACACCAACTTTGTCTTCCTCGATTTGAAACCGGCTTTCGACTCAGTCGATCGTTCTAAACTCTGACGCTGCCTCACTCTAAACGGTGTTCCCGAGATGTTTATTTCTATCTTACAATCCCTGTACACTAATAGCCGAAACCGAGTTCGGATTTACGGCAATTTATCGCCCAAGCTCACTACAGAACGTGGTGTTCGTCAGGGTTGCCCTCTTTCTCTTTTTCCATTTAACTTTGTCATAGATTTGATTCTTGAAACAGCCCTATCCTCGTGCGAGAATAGCGGTATCAATTTACTCCAAGGTAGCAGACTGCCTGATCTAGACTATACAGACGACATTGCGCTGCTAAGTGAGGATCCAGGTAATTCGCAAGTTTTCCTGGATAGTTTGAGTGCTAGTGTAATCATGTTCGGTATGCGTTTTGCACTTTCAAAGTGTAAAATGTTGCTGCAATATTGGATTGGTCCAGCACCCTGTCTCACCCTGATTGCTGAAGTAGTCAAATTATGTTATCTAGGCAGCTATATCTCACCGGGTGGACGCATCACGGATGAAGTGTCAGTTCGCATACAGAAGGCTCGGTTGGTATTTGCCAAGACATCAATGGCGCCGTTGCGACATTCAACTGTCCATGAAAGGTCGAGTGTATGCCGCGGCAGTTCAGGCAGTTCCGCTATACAGAGAAGAAACTTGGCCATTAGGTGAAAAGGATAAAGATAGACTATCGGTGTTTGAACACCGCAGCGTTGCACGTACCCGGTGGGGCAGCCGGAGGGCCAATGCTGAGGTAAGGTGCAGAGTTTTGAGTGACCGCGGTCACCCACTGGAGGAAGTGGTGGACCTCTATAGATTACGTTTGTTGGGGCGTGTTACTCATGTCAATAAGCAGGTTTGCACGCCGCATGATGTTTGCCGATGCAGATAGTGAGTGGAAAATGACCGAAGGTGGTTAAACTAAGAGCAGGAACGAGAATCAGTCACATAAAGGCCGGGGAACTTGGGATGATCGTAACCGGTGAGTAGGAAACTGCGTTATATGGCTGAATGTCGTAAACAGTGGCGTTCGTACATCTCCTCAATTTGTCTACAACATTGGATCACTGAAATTCTAAATTTTCGCTTCAATCCTGCTTTCAGCCTTTCCTGCCTTTCTCCTAATGTTCATCCACGTGGGCAGTTAAAGGACAGCAACCAAAACCGGCGCATGAATGTGCTGGGTAATGGTTTTCCAACCTTAAATGAACTGATTCTTTGAGTCCCTCAGTTGATGGTTGTGCTGCCATCAACTGAGACTTTCTGTTTAGTCGAGGTGGGTGATGATAGGTTAGATGTCGATGGAGGCCAGTTGAACGGACGCTCAAAGTGTTCAGCCCATCTATCAAGACGTCGTTGCTGTTCGTTAATCAGTGTGCCATGGGATTCCTCAATTACGTCTCGTAGGCCTGTTTTCCTGGTGCACATATTCCTACATAGGCGGAAAATAGTGGGACCATTACCAATAACCGTAGCCTCCTGTTCTTCGCACTCTCCTATCCACCAATTCTCGCGTCATTTCTCATACGCTTGATGAGCTGACGGTTTTATGGATTTTCGCGCTGTCCTATGTGGCATCAGGAGGGTGGGTTGTGCGGGCGTCCTACAAGGCAGCCGAGGTCGGCGATATCCATCTTTTGTGTTTTGAGCATGCGCCAGTGTCCGACGTTGCTTTTATCGATATTTGCATAGCTTCCTTGATTTGCTTTCAGTGTTCATTGATTCCTTCCTCTGGTCGTTGAACCGCGCGGCGATTGGAGAGCTCCGCTTCGGAGGCCGATTTGCAGCAATCGCGGATGCTGTATCGTGGGTATCCGCTGTCGTTGGCTTTATTGCGATTGCTTGCGAGGCGTGATCTGTACAGTTGGTAAACAGTAAGAGCAGCAGTCTTCTATCGTTCCCCTCTAACGGTAACTGATTGCGATGGGGTCCATTTGCGTCCAGAGCTGTGAAGAGGCTGGCGTTTTCCATATAAGGCGATGTCGTTTCTTGTGCGAGAAGTTCGTGCATGACAGGAAGTCCATGGTTCGCTCAGAGTTGAAGTAGACGATCGCCGTTGTCCGTCCGATTGGCTGGGATTGCATGTGGTCCATCAAGGAGCTCTTCTGATTCGTTCCGTGATGCCACTTTAATGACGACTACTACGACTTCCGTTGATCAAACACTGGAGTAATTGAGAAAGTTCATTGTACAATTCATCCTAGATTTCTCGTGAACTGCAATCGTTCGAGCGTACACCGATAGACGACCAAACATCGACACTGCGTTTTTTTAGCTGTTGATCCGTGCTGAACCGTTGAGAAGTACGACGCAAGTCGGCTACTGACTGGAATTCAGCCAGGAAGCGAGAGCTCAGCCTTGGCTTTGAGAGCAACACCAACGACATGGTGGGCTTCGGAGGCCAAATCGCCTGATACGAAAGGTGAAGCGTGAGGTCGAGGTTGGATCAGGAGAACGCAGGGAGATAAGGGAAGTAGGGTCTTGAATGCATGTTTCGGAGATAACATACATGTAAATTGAAAGTTTCAAGGGTTCTAGCTAAGGCAGCTCGTTGACCAATCTGGTAGTATGCAGACATTAAATGCGGCTAAATAGAAAGACAATGTTGGCTTCATAAATCCTACAAATTCCGATTGTCTGGCCTTGTTTGTAAAACGCTGAGTGATATTCGATTGTTGGCGTAAACTGCAGGGGTATTGGATTATTTGGGTTTTAGAAAAAGAACTCGACAGATGGGAAAGACGGTTTTCCAAATGCGTGCCTAAGACTTCAGGCCACGGAATACTCCGCGGTCGCCCACACAGATGAAGGGGTTTTTCTTTCAGAACCCTAACCGGAGCCTACTACTCAAAAGTCTGACCCACAAGACAGTGGGACGTAAATCCAACGCGGGAGCATAAACAAAGCACCCGTGTGGGAGCTTCTAGAGACCTGTCACGCAAGGCTTTTGAATTTTAACTAATTGTGTTCGCTGGTGCATTGATCATCGGTCCGCTCTTCGAGATCGGCTCAGCTTCATTCGCCCAATGAGACCAGCGGAACGTGGAGGAGACAGCACTTTATTGGCTGGGGGCTGCTCAGCTTGGGCGGGCGGCAGCTGTCCAATGAAGTGCGAAGATTTCTCCCACCGTCGAGAGGAAGCTCTAGGTGCGTCGCTCCTACGTCCATCTAGCGGGGTTTTTTTGACCGTTGAAGTGCCCCTCACCCTGTTTATCTGCTGGTGTGACCTCTCCAGGGGCGGGTGTGAATGGAAGAAGGAAGGCAGGAGGTGCCCAAGCAGCTGGCTTTGTGAGACTGAGCTTTGTCTGGCCTCTACCCGCTGACCTTTCAGGCATAGTTGGACCTACGGCTGTCAAAAGATATTTTGTGTAGCTCATAGACTCATGGAGGTATGCTAGCCATCACACCACGTCAAGGTGCAGTCTCGTCGTGATGAAAACGGAGCGGTCGGAGAGCAGTAAAGATCAATCCTTCAAACGTTATCCTCCTTGTGTGAAGGGATTCAGGTTATTTCATTCGGTGATGTATTCCACACTCGATCTCTCACTATGAGATCATTAAGCTCTTTACAACTGTTTCGTCCTTGTCGGGAGTCATTTTCAATGTGTAATCGCTGAATCCATAAGCGTTCGAACCCTAGCACATAAACTTGCTAGTCGAACTTGTAACCTAAGAAAGTGATTTAAGACCTCTCTTTTCACCTTTCGTCCGTCACTGTAGTTCAGTTCTACAAAAGCATGCCTCACTCCCTGCTGCTCATTTTATGCTCCATTAAGAACAGGAAACCCCATACCTAATGGGCATCGGGTTGGATTAACAGATTTTCGTGACCCAATTCAATTTTCATTTAGGCATTACTTCCAAAGTTTCTCAAAATGTGTTGGTGACATACTGACTCCATGTTCCTTGAGTTTCTAACCATCTCAAGGAGCCAAATAATTATTAGCAGTGACTATTTATTCATCGGTTTAGGTGATTTGATTGTCAACAACTCCTCATCAGTCGTATAGTGTTGTTAGTTTTAAATCTCAAACGCGTCATGATGCTAAGGTTAGTTAGTGGTATTCAACATTCCACATGAGTAGAAGAAAGCACACTAATGAGAAGGTTGTAACAAGTTGACAAGGTATACCGAAGTCTCAGCAAAGCGGTCATAGATTACGAGCCCATTTGTTCTCAGGTCGGTGCGGTTAATTAGAGCCATGAATCCAGTGAATTCACAGATGTTCATATGTTCGATAAAAAGGCCTTCACCTTGTAGGTAATTAGACGAGAAAGTTATTTTCATTGCACATTGCCAGAGGGCACACAGTAGAA